TGATGGCAGAAGTGTGCACCATCGTACATATGAGTATGCACATGTATGTACACATAATTTCAGAGACGGCTCATCCCAGAGTCAAGCCGCAAGACCCAAGCCCCACAAGCTTGCTTACGCTACAACTTCGAGGCCTGACAAGCAGTGGTCCCTTTTTTGTATGTTCCAGGTTCTGATCCGTTTTCAAGGACCCCTCTAGTTACTGTTTGTACTGTAGGGTCTCCTCGGATCTGAATCTCAATCCTAGAAGCTGAAGCCTGCCAAGATCATGAGCCACATCGTTGTGGCTTTGACGACGGACCTGATTTGGAGTCGGTTCGCCGCGCCACTCGTCAGCAAAACCGAAATACTACTTCCTGAGGTCCCATCGCCACCCCCCCCTTCCCAAAGGACGACCCAAGAGACATAGCCATGCAGTTTTGAAGCCAATCTCCCCACTCACCCGATCCACCCTCAACGCAATTGGGAGTATCAGAGAAAATGCTCGATGTTGAGGGGATGTCCCTGGACTCCAGGCTCGATGGCGCCGCGAACCTTCCGACACAAAATCAGATCTCCCCAAGCTCGAAATCCTAGATACTCAAACCAGTCCCTCAACCGTAGTCTCAGCTGACCTTACTTTGCATGCGAGAATGTACCCCGCAACTTCGTCGCGGGCACTCAGTGCACTAGATGCGAATGGCGAACACCCTTGCGGCCGACAGTCGGCACGCGAAACAACAGCCTCGGGATTAAGGTTTAGGGTAGAGGGTATAGTGTGATGGTAAGCCAGGTATAGAACTGAGAGTAAAACAACACAAAAGGGCAGGTTATGGTTGCGTAGGGTACATCCTAAAGCTCCCTAAACTGCTCAGCCCAGGTTCCAGTTCCTTTTTGGCACCTTGGCCCGTTCGGGGTTTGAGGTTTAGTCCTTTGGGATTTCGCATTCAGGGATTTGGGTTTTGGAGCACAGGGTCTCGTAGTCTGGCAGATTTGGCATTCAGTTTTGTGCTTTGAAGGTGCGGGTTCATGGTCGTCATCCATGGTTTTCAGGCTTGCGCACAGGCTGCTGGCATTGACGTGGCAGGGGTCATTATGGTTACTAATCATGTCCTCTTGTAATTGTAACGGCTGTATTTATATAGAATTAGCAAACTTCTACCTTCCCAAAGCACTGTTCAAATGATTAAGGCCCTTATATTCGTCTTGTATAGTCCTCATGATTTGCGGGAACAATGCAGCGTTTCATTTCTGGGAAGTGCTACGACTGCGATTTAGGGTTTTTGGGGTTTGGGGGATGTAGGGTCTTGGGGCCTAAGCTTTAGGGTTCAGGCTTTTGGCCATACTGTCATAGTCATACGGGTGGGTTCGGCTTGGTTTCTTTATGCTAGCAGACATCAAATGGGCTGGGACAGCCTGAATCCCCCAAACTTTTGCAATCTTCTAACAGGCTTACTGCCCCTGCTCCCTTCCCCAAGCCCTCACCCTAACCCTAAGCCGGGATCCGAAGCCCTACTTCAGGACGATGCTACTTTCTCATGACGCTTTGCCTCTTCTTCGTGAGCCAGTCCTTGTTGAAAGGAAAGGAGGATGCTGAAGAGACCCTTGAGGCCCTCGGCTTATGGGGCTTCAGTGGCTGAGGCAACTTGGGTCCAGGGCTTTGGGCTTCTCGTTTTTGTCTTAGGGCTGAGAGAACGCTTCCAACATCCCTTTAGTTCTTCCACGTTCACTAGTACCAGAACCGCTACTACAAGTACGACTACTATTACTATGCAGCCGCCTCTTTACTAGTTTGTCTTTTACTAGTATTCCTACTACTTACAACTACTGCTGCTACTACTACTACTACTACCACCACCACCCCTACCCCTACCCCTACCCCTACCCCTACCCCTACCCCTACCCCTACCCCTACCCCTACCCCTACTGCTGCTGCTTACTGGTGTTTTTGGACGCTAGGTAGGATATTCAAATTTCGGAATCACTGCACGTCCAGCACGTTTGGGAATCGGGGTCCGGAAAGCTTACGGGTATATAGGAGAAGAGTTTTGGCACTGAGGTGGAGTCGGCAAGTTAGCTGTCGCTGTTGGGCCCTGAGGGCCGAATGATAACGATTTTGTTTCAAAAGACACAGTTCAGGCTCCAGCGATATAAGATTGGAAAGGCTTGAGCCGCAAACTCTCGCCGCTGTATCCGGACCTCACACGCAAGCGACGGACATCATGTTCGAGAGCCCCACAAGACACAAGAACCTAATTCTGTCGAGCCTTTGTGCACGAACTGTCGGCAAGAATCTATACACACCTGAAGCCCTTTCCAATTCTCACCTGCGGCCCTAAGTCCCTGACATATCTCAATGAACGTAATCTGCGAGCGTATCCACAGAATCGAATCGCTGGAGGTGAATGTGGCTCGTTTTGCACTGCGGCTTTGGCTGTGCCTTGCCGTCTTGAGGTTTTTTTCTGGGACTACCTACTACCTACACTTTCGACTTGCTAATGCTTTTTGTTGCCGTCCTACACTAATAAAGAACATGTCACGTGATGAACATTACTCACCTGGTGCTTCCAGGCTTCCTCGGGTCGGAATGAGTAGTTTTTGTCAGGCATGTTTCGCACCGCCTTCAGACGCAGGGCCGTGTGCTGCAGCGCCGTGTCGGGACGATCGCCGGTTTCGTTTCTCTTGTCGTTATCACCTGTAGGCGAGTGCCACCACTTCTTTTGTGGGCTGTACTCTAGCTCGTTTCAGCGTAGAGCTGAAGGACTCGTGACATTTTTGCACTTATCTTCGGAGTTCGTGGGCTTACAGGGGCTTTGATGGAATCTTGCAAAACCTATGCCCGTACCCCCTCAAAGTCCCAGTCATGGGGAGAGGAGAATAGAGATAATATAGAAGGCCGAAGGCCTGGGTCCCAAAGCTGTCGACGCGACCGTTTCGATTGCTGTCCTAGATGTGCATCTTGCGCAGATTCCCACGAAATGCCGTAGGAACTCGAGCGCCGAGAGCGTTGACAAAACCAGTCTGTTGCTCGTTGCCATACTGCACTATGTACTCTCTCTCTCTCTCTCGCTCTCTCTCGCCGTCTATATAGATATATAAAGGCTATGGGTCTAGAGTTAAGAGAGTGAAGCAATCATTATACCAAGATATCGATGCATTGAAAGACTGTTCCTGCTTTTTGTTTCCCGTTTATATGTACATACACACAAGAAGACATAAGGACTGACTTATCGAATGTAAATGTTCACAATGGAAATATCATCAAGTAAGTAGATAAAAGAAGTAATTTACCATGTGTATATATATATACATATGTGTGTGTATGCATGTATGTATGTATGTATGTATGTATGCATGTATGTATGCATGTATACACATATACATACATACATACATACATACATACATACAGACATACATACATACATACCTACGTACGTACGTACGTACATACATACATACATACGTACATACATACATATATTGAATACATACATACATACATACATACATACATGCATACATACATACATACATACATACATACATACATATGTATATATATGTATATATATATACATGTGCGTGTATGCATATGTACGTGTTTATGTATTTCTGCGTAGGTATGTATGTATGTATGTATGTATGTATGTATGTGTTCATACAATTCATGTCCACATGCACTTCTGACATGTGCAGCAATATGTCATAGTCTAGCATTCACCACATCGGGGATTATGAAGGTGTTTAACTCATGTTGTAATCATGTTCAGGAGTGTGAAGGCACAGGCCAAATGCGGACGGATGGAGAAGAGTATGGTCTATGTTTTTGGACACAAACGGAACTGACTGCCTCATCTCTGTCCCAACAAAATCCTGAAAGCCTAATCTAAACTTAAAACTTGACCTTAAACGCGAGCAAACATGCACAAGGCGGACCCTAGATCAGAAGCTTGCACTGTCTTTCACTCAACTTGCTGTGCCACTGCGCGAAGTCCAGCCAGAATAGGATGCAGCTGTGCACTTCTGCGTTGTTTTTGAAATCTTTGGGCTCATGAGTGGGCATTGGCCACCCACGCACCATGCAGTCAGATAGACTAGTAAAGGAGCCTCAACCAACTATTGCAGTTTATAAGCCACTTCATACATGAGTATACTGTATACCCCCAGACAAAACTGTTACAAGCGACTGCCGCGCTTGTTTCCTGGGCACATCTGAAAGCGATTTCAATACGAGTTGCAGCAGCGAGAGACGGCGCTAAAACGGCCCTGGTGAGTGGGCATTGGCCACCCATGCACCACGATATAGGAGCCCTCTAACTCTAGTAACTGTTGTAGTTTTGTCTCTTGAACCACCTCATACAAGCCCAGACGAGTATACCGAAACTCCCACACAACATTGTGCAAGCGCAGTAGGCCCCTGTAGCATGGGCGCATCTCGCGGTGATTTATTCCAGTACTTACGAGGTTGCAGAGGCCAGGGGCGGCGCTGAAAAGGCCCTGGCGAGTGGGCATTGGCCACCCATGCACCATGATGTAAGAGCCCTCCAGCAACTCTCATACAAGCCTGGATAAGTATACCGTATATGCTTTCACAAACCTTTTGCAAACGACTTCGGTCCCTGTATCATGGGCGCAGCATAATTAATTGAGAGACGAGGTCGAAACGGCCTTTCCGTGCACAGTGCAAGAGGCCATCCGGCACTAGCTGGGTTCAAGGGCAAAGGCTTGAGGATAATGTAGGTATATTACACCATACTGTAATGAAAGTAGGAAACCCCCCAAGGCCCCACATAGTGTTGGTAGTTACTCAAAGACACTTAGTTACACACAAACCGTGGACTAACTGTGGGGCTGTAGCCGGATTTCAGATCACTTGCCCGTGGCATTTTGCCTTTCGGGACTGCTTTTCATAGGTGCTGAAAGGGGGGAATCCTCCACTGCCCGTTCAGCACCAATTGTTATTATGATTTGGGAAAGTATCCCCCATAACAGTACCTTGGACCCGTTGGGTTCGTGAGTCACAAGCTGAAGATCCACACACCGCTAGGCTCATCAAGGATTTGTGAGCACAGGGATGCCTAGGTCCGTTCTCCAGGAAGCCCCTTGAAGTTAATAGACACGGTTTGGGATTTAGGGCTTAGGGTGATGGTAAGGGTACGCTTTTTCATAATATTCGGTTTCAAAAAGGGAAGCCCCGAAAAGAAACGGGCAAAAGGGTACCAACGAGAGACGTAGATTCACTGAGCTTCAAGCCATCAGGCTCGGAGCTTGGAGACCGGGTGGATGGTGGACTTGAGAAGACGGAGCTCGCTGGTGCGAGTCCGGCTGGCATCATGGCCTTGACGTTGTCCCGAAGTTGCTTGTGTGAGTCCGACCAGCCATAGTCTGGTCCGGCAGGGAGCCTGGATTCCGTGGGCTGCCAGATGAGGTCATGAGCACGTCGGGCAGTACCCCTCTGGCTGGAGCCTCCACGTTCTGCCTTGACAAAGTCCTTGGCTCCCTGGAGAGTGCTTGTTGGCAAAGAGGCGTACAGCCTACTGATCTCCATACGGTCCGTGAGCTGCATACCATTCTTGAACAAGACAGGTGCATGTGCGTCGTGGATCGCCCGGATTCCGAAGCGAGCCACATAGTAAGCTGCGTTGAAGGAGAACCCTTGAACGTTGCCAGCACATGCAACGATGTTCCAAGCCGCATGTGCGTCGTTGAGCAGGTGGAAGAACTCCTGAGCCTCCTTGGCCGCTCCGCTGTCGGTGAAGTTAATGAAGGCCAAGGAAATGTTGACGAGCTTGTGCCGGTCATAAGGAACATACACGAAGTCAAACCTGCCAGGCGTGACGATGTTGAGCATCGCCAGCAATGTATCGGTGGTCATCTCAGGAGGAAGGCGACGCAGCATCAATGTCGTGAAGGGTGCACTAAACCCCTCCCCCATTTTTGGGGCTCCGTAAACTCCATGCGTCTTCCTTTTGGGGGCCATGGCAAGAGAATCCTTGGGTCAAAATAGAGGTTCTTCCTGAGCAAACTGCAGAGACAAGAGAGTTCTGCAAGCAGCTCCTCACCCTCACAGCATCCCCCACAAATTTCACCACAGCACTCCCCCACAGAGACTGCACATAGACACCAAGGCTGAACATCGCCGCCCATATACACCCCTAAACTAGTCCAGGATCCAACTGACCGAACCTCATCTGATCCTGAACCCCTGACTGGGCCCCCGGCCCAGTAAACTCGGCACCCAGATGGTTCGCCCTGGCCTGCTGCTTGATGGCAACGGCCTGAGCGATGCTATGGGTCTGCCACAAGAACTCCAGCCGCTTGCTAATAAGAGGAACCAGCAACCTTGGCTGTAGCAGGAGCAACGGCATCTGCGCCAGCGACACCAGGACGTGTTTGAAGAGGAGCAGTAGCAACTGATCAAGGCTCAACTCAGAATGTTGGAACAGGCCAAGGAATCGTGTGCGATGCAGGGTTGCAGGCTCATCGGAAGACAGAAGGAAGCGGAGCTCTTGCTGCGTGTAGAACTCGCAAGCAAAAAGAAACCTGTAGACAAAAACTGCAGGAACAAACGCTACCAACAGGCAGAAGCTCGCTGTGTTACGGTCATCATCCAGCCCTGACTTCAACAACGAGCACGATAGCTGTGCAAGTGTTCACTGTTGAAGGACTGGGTCGGAGCTGGGGCTGGGACCCCTGCATCTGAAAAAGGGGCTCGAATAAGTAGAAGAAAGAGTGGTTGCTTTTCTTTGTCTTTTTTGGGGGGTTATTATAAATTATACCGTACTTATAGCCAGGAACCCCCATTATAGTATTGGCAATGATTTCGGCCACTATAGTAACTATAGTATCTTTCTTGATCAGCAGGCGTTATTTCTGCGAGTCAGCACAAGCAGAAGGCCTGCTGCGCACAATGCACAACCTTACCCGACGTCCGTAATGCGACCGCATTCGACGGCACAACCTATGTCGAGGCCAGTTAGTAAGCCCGACACCTGGATCAATGAAGTCCGGTTTAGGGTTTAGGGTTTCGGCTCAGAATAGATTCTTGCCCCGTCGTCCCTTTACAGTTTGGTGCACAGAAGCTGCTTCAGCACTGTGGCTCCAGCACGCCCGCTGTCTCTGAGAGCCTTGTGTTTGCGCCACCTGAGAGCCGTAGAGCCGAGGGGGAAAGGCTTTTCGTTGGGCATGAAGGATCTGTTCCTTGTTTATCCCTGCCCCCGCCCTCCCCCCCCCCCCCCCCACCCCCCCCCCCCCC